CCTTCACGATTATCATAGAAATTTAAGCTATCTCTGATTCTTACTACTTCTGTGATGTTGGACAAGTCATTTAACATTCCTGGGTCTCATTGCCTCATATGTAAAATTAGAGGGTTGGGCTATATTTCTCTATAGTTCCATCCAGTTTTAGATCAAGGATTGTATGACCCCGTAATTTACTCACATAAAGGCATGGGGTCACAAAGAGTCAGACATGACTGTAATGACTGAACAACAAAAAACGAGTGTGGGGAGATAACTAGGAATAAATACTGGGATTTGCTTCCTTCCTCCAGGGATGGTCCTGAGCCCCCCACCGCTCTGGTACATACACCCACAGTAGTACACACCCTGGGTCATGAATGCCATATGCCCCCCCCCAAACACACACTCAAACCCCCTTTATGGTGCTGGGCTATGACCAACGGACCCCCTCTGGGCTCCTTTCCTCGTCACCTCGCTTCCATTTATTTATCTCACTCAGTTTCTTCTAGGGAGGTTTCCTCTGCAGTGTGGAGCCTCCTTGGCAAAGTTCCCAACAGACACAAGTCTTGGAAGTGGGAACCTGAAACTGCTGGGAGGGGTGTGGCCCATAGCAAGTGAGCTTTCCATATATGCACAAAGTGAATTGAGCCTAAGCGATGGCGTTTTTGTTTCTTTTTAATTACATCCAAGCACATCCAGTTTAACATTGCCCCATCCCACTAAATGCAGGTAGAATGTTCTTTAACCCTTAAATTGTTGGAAAAAAAAACAAGTATTATTAATAAGTTCAATACAGCATAGCCACACCCTACTGTACCATCCTGCTAAACCTTTCTCATACACTTGCTTAGGACCAAGGCTAGCTCCCAGACCTAGCTCAGATAACACAGCCGGTCTGCTGACTGGCGGAGAACAGTAAAGAGCCTAGCCAATCAAAACATGGTTGCTGAGCTCCAACTACCCGCCTTCCTTTTCCTCCTCCTCCTCCCCCTCAAGTAAAATTTCTATCCTGGTGGAATCACATCTCCTCTCATACTATTGTAATAGAAATAACTAACATTTACACAGCTCTTTAAAGTTTGAAAAGTTCTTGCTATATATACTTTAACTCACCAATAACTCCGGGAGATAGGCAGTTTTATCTCTTGACCACTGGGGAGAACTCAGGCTCAGAACTGTTGAGTGACTTGCCCATTGTCACAGGAGTAGTATTGGTCAGAAGCAAGAAATCTAACCCAACTTTCTCCTGACTTCGGGTCTAGCACTCTATCCCAGAAAAATCTTCTGATTAGATTCCATTAAAGCAAGCATTTACTAAGTACTTATTATGTTCAAGGCATGGTACAAAACCAAAACCATCATCACCACCTTCTTTCATTTTTTTGTCTAGGGATTAAACCATATGGATAGGTGAACGCAAAATGCATATCAGTTAAATAATTTCTGGAGAGTGGAAACAACTGGAGGAAATGGAAAAGATCTCTTGTAGGAGGTACTTCTTCACCAAAAGGAGGTAGGGGTTGTGAGAGGTGGAGGTGGCCAGAGGGGGCAGCCTTAAGGAAACATTGTGGCAAATGGAATGTTGTGTAACAGGATTAGCAAGTGGATCAGTTTGATTGAAATTCAGTGTATGGTGGGGGGGGTAATGAGTAATCATTCTGGAAAGACAGACAGGTGGTGAAGGGTTTCAAATGCCAAATGGAGGGGCTCTCATATTTATCATCACAGCAAATAGGGAAGCACTGAAGCTTCTTGACTAGGGAAATGACACAGTCAGATCTGCACTTTTAGAACACTGTGAATTAGTAACTGTGTGGATGGACTGGGGAGGAGAGAGGCTGTATGTGGTGGGTCAACACTCAGTCAACAAGCATTTATTAAGCTCTATGCACTAGGCACTATGCTAAGTGATGCGGTTGCAAATATAAGTGAAAGGAAATAGTCCCTGCCTTCAAGAAGCTTCCATTCTAATGGGGAAGACAACACATAAAAGGAAGTTGAAAAAGGTTGAGGGAGTATCTAGAACTGGTGCACGATGGAGAAGTCCAGAAGAGTTCAGCCTGGACCAGTTACTGCATAACCTAGGCAAGAGATGATGTGTCTTTGACCCATGTTACCTACCTCATTGCTGCTGTAAAAGTGGATCAGAACCATGGGATCTTAGAGTTGGAAGAGTCAGAAGTCATCAAGGGCTACCTGTCACTTAATACAAATGGCCTTTCTATTATAGCTTTGCTTGGTGATATTGAACACATTACCGCTTGAGACTGCCTACAGCAATAGTGAATAACCTTGGCTGTTAGTGTTCTTTCTTAGGGAGCAGTGAAATCTGCCTTATCATAACTTCCACTCACTGGCAAAAATTCATTCCTCAGACCTGTAATAAAATAATCTGTCTCTCCTTCCCCATGATAGTCGTTCAGATATTTAAGCACATTCATCTTTTTTTTCTCTTGAATTTCAGAATTTTTTTGTTCCATAATTGAGTTTACTAGAACTCTCATGGTAAGGACACAGTTCAGTGATGCAGATTGCCAACTCTTGTTTAAATTGTAGCATTAAACATTTGTATCGGGGATTGAGAGGTTCCTCAACTTGTGTCAATCACCGTAGAACTAATAAGAGGCAGGATCTGAACTTGGGTCTTCCTGACTCTAGGTGCAGCTAGATGGTGCAGAAGATAGAGGGCGGAACATCTAGGTGGCACAGTAGATAGAGCACTGGCCCTGACCTCAGGAGGACCTGAGTTCAAATCCAGCCTCAGACCAAGCACTTGACAATTACTAGCTGTGTGACCCTGGGCAAGTCACTTAACCCCATTGTCTAACCAAAAAAAAAAGATGGCAAAGCCTTAAGTCTGGAAGACCCCTCTGCCCGAGTTCAAATCTGGCCTCACACACTTATTAGCTATGTGACTCTGGGTAAGTCACTTAACCTTCTTTTCATAACTGTACTCTCAGAAATAAAGCTGCCCTGGACTAGGGCTGGACCTCAAATATGGCATTATTTTATGGGTTAAGAAACTACAGTCACTAGTCTACTGTACTCTGTAATTTTGAACAATTTCTCTAATCAAAAAACCAAAAAGGTTTATTTTTCTCCCTGGTGCCATGAAAACTCTGTTCCAGGCACCTTCTCAGTTCTGGAAGTTCATTAGGGCTGGATTGCAGAGGGAAGCTCGTTTTGTAGATAAAAATGTTTCCAAAAAAATAGGGGGAAAAGAAATCTATTGTGCCTTCACTGAATCTCTTCCCCAGCAACTGTTACCTGTTTTAACATTCATACCAGGCGGGGGAGGAAAACTAGCTCCCTATTTTGAGCCTGCAGAAGAATAATAAGGCACTGTACTGAACCCCGAGGATTAACCATTGCCAGCCCAGAATTATAGAATGCTAGGAGAAGGAAGTTAGATCCCAGTATCACAGATCTCGATCAGGAAAGGGATCTGCTAATTTAACTCTCTCATTTTACAGAAGAGGAAACCAAGGACAGGGCAAATTGAATGAGTTGTCTAGGGTCACACAAGCAGTAAATTTCAGAGCTAGTTTTCAAACCTAGGACCTCAGACAGACAGGACACAGAGTCTGCCAGACTGCCCTAAATCTCCTGAAGTAAACTGCCTGCAGGGAAGAAAAAAAATATGAAAGGAAAAACTCTGAAATACTTCAAGACTTAGCCACTAGGTGCTTTTCTGAGAAGTTAATGCAGTTGGGACAGCAGCACTGACTGTCGGTATTTGCTCCGAATTAGAGCTCTGCTCTCCGAGGTATTAAAAGTCAATCACAGCGACATTCTCTTTGTTTAGAAATTCAAGCCACTCTCCCTGGGTCCCTCTTTCCCCCACTTGCTCTCAGCACTTAGCAAAGTGCCTGGCACATAGCAGGCCTAAAAAAATGTTTAATGACTTGACTCACTCACTAGCTTTGAAACCATATGGACTACAGGGCAATTAAAAACAAAAGAGGCAAATCCAAATGGGACCAAATTTAAAACAAAACTGGATTTGGAGCTGAAAAAAAAATGTGCCTTCATTCCAGAAGGCAACTTTCCCAGGGGGTCGATCTGTGCAGAGAAGCAGGGACACCAGGGAATTAAAGACACCGGAAAATTGCTAATGCTTTGGGGAGAAAAAAGCCTATGGCTGCTGGCAGGGGATGGGATTCTTTCCATCGGGATTTCCTCCCTTCACCTTTCCGGGTTCCGAACCACTCTGGCAGTCTGATGATGCCTATGGTCCCTTTCTCAGAAACATTCTTAAATTCATAAAATAAACTGCATAAGGTTACAAAGGAAACTAGTTATAATGAAAAAGAAGCAAGGATTCCAAGTTCACAAACACCGTGAAATCTACCCACGGTTACCTCTCTGGACCACTAGTTAAAAATGAGAATTTTAACCAGTTCTACACCTCCATTCTTCCAACATCCTGGGTTACTGGATGTAGAATACTTCGGTTTAGACTCCCTGGAGAAAATACAAAGTCTGAGGGAACACAAGAGCTGAAGTAACAGTGGGTCAAGGCGTTTTAGTGGGGTTGGCTAGTGGGGAGGGAGACAAAAGAGGCTGAGGTCTCTGGGGTCCCCGAGGAAGGCACTAGGTGGCAAGAGTTCCATGGCCTGGGCGAGGAGCGGAGATCGAGAACTCAGAAGATGGGAAAGGGGAGATGGCACAGTGGGTGTGCCCAAGCGAGGAGGTGAAAGGATGGGGAGCAGGAGAAAAGAAATGGAGTCTAGGGAAACGATAGCTCAAGGAGCTGCAGGTTGGCGGAGAGGAGAGGAGTCTAATGGAGTTGCAGGTGGGGGCTGGGTGGGGCAGCGAGCTCCAGACTCCCCTCCAGTGCTGCTTCCCCTCTCTCTCCTCCACTCTCAGGCTTTCTTCCTGCCTCCTGCTCCTCCCCGCCCTCAAGATTTGCGCAAAGTCTTTCTTTGGCTGCCGCAAGGCGCTGGCCACCGCCCCCCGCAGCCAGGAGAAGGAGGGCTCAGAGGCTGCGTCAGTCCCAGCTCGAGTATAAAAGGGGGCGGGCGGCCAGCGGCGAGCCGCACACAGCCACCCGTCCTCCTCCCCTCCTCTCTCCTCCTCCCCATCTCTCCTTCCTCGGTCTCGCCGAGCAGGCAGGCGGCCGGCCGGGCTGCGGGCCCCCGACCCCACACACCGGCAGCATGAGCTCCTTCGGCTACGAGCCGTACTACGCCACGGCGTACAAGCGGCGCTATGCTAGCACCGCCGAGAGCCCGCGAGTGCACATCTCGTCGGTGCGCAGCGGCTACAGCAGCACCGCGCGCTCGGCCTACTCCAGCTACTCAGCTCCCGGCTCCTCCGCGGCGCTCTCAGTTCGCCGCAGTTACTCATCCAGCTCGGCGTCGCTGCTGCCCAGCCTGGAGAGCCTGGACCTGAGCCAGGTGGCCGCCATCAGCAACGACCTCAAGTCCATCCGCACGCAGGAGAAGGTTCAGCTACAGGACCTCAACGACCGCTTCGCTAGCTTCATCGAGCGCGTCCACGAATTGGAGCAGCAGAACAAGGTCCTCGAGGCCGAGCTGCTGGTGCTGCGGCAGAAACACGCCGAGCCGTCCCGTTTCCGCGCCCTCTATGAGCAGGAGATCCGAGACCTGAGGCTGGCCGTTGAGGACGCGAGCGCCGAGAAGCAGGCACTGCAGGGCGAGCGAGATGGCCTGGAGGAGACCCTGCGCGCGCTGCAGGCGCGCTATGAGGAGGAGGTGCTGAGCCGCGAGGACGCCGAGGGTCGCCTGATGGAGGCGCGCAAGGGCGCTGACGAGGCGGCCCTGGCACGCGCAGAGCTCGAGAAGCGCATCGACAGTCTGCTCGACGAGATCGCCTTCCTCAAGAAAGTGCACGAGGAAGAGATCGCCGAGCTGCAGGCTCAGATCCAGTACGCGCAGATCTCCGTGGAGATGGACGTGTCTGCCAAGCCCGACCTGTCCGCGGCGCTCAAGGACATCCGCTCGCAGTACGAGAAGCTGGCTGCCAAGAACATGCAGAATGCCGAGGAGTGGTTCAAGAGCCGCTTCACAGTGCTCACCGAGAGCGCCGCCAAGAACACCGACGCCGTGCGCGCAGCCAAGGATGAAGTGTCCGAGAGCCGCCGCCTGCTCAAGGCCAAGACGTTGGAGATCGAGGCGTGCCGGGGCATGAACGAGGCCCTCGAGAAGCAGCTGCAGGAGCTAGAGGACAAACAGAACGCCGACATCAGCGCCCTTCAGGTAAGCCCCGCCCGGCCCAGTGCACCCAGGGGGTTGCGGGGGGGTGGGGTGGGGCGGGATGAGGAGGGGGAGAATCCGGAATGGCTGCGCTCGCCGGGTGGAGGAGTTCCCCTTGGCAGGTCTGGCAGGGGGGCGGGGCTCTGGAGGGGCAACCTCCTTATTGGTCAGGCGAGGAAAATGAGGGTCGGAGCGATTTGGTAGCCATTTCATTGTGCCGCCTCATTTGACATAAGAGGAAACTGAGGCGCGGGAGAGGCGGGGTGATGTACCTAAGGGAACGATAGAGTTAGCAGGTAGAATTGTTTTCAAAATGTCAGGTTATCCAATTTACATTACTAAGGCTTTCCAGAGCACCACTTTAGAGCCAGCATCGGTATCGAGTGCATGAGGAAGGAAATCTACGCACTGCAGGTGTTAGAGCTTTTGGGCAGGGTATAGAGACCCCTTAGGGACACGTGGATGGAGGTAGGGGTCGCTGTGTGGATCTAGGGCACTGAGTATTTTTTTCTTTTGGCACATCCCACCTTGGCTCTGTGTGTTGGGGGAGGAGAGGCTGAGAAGTGGAGGGGAGGTGCCTTCTACACTCTGAGTTGACTATACCTGTTAGCCCAATTAGTAAATGCATTGAAGATTATACTCTTCCCCCGATAGGTGGCAGTAGTTATGAATTTATTTCCCTAACTCCTCCCCCTCCCCCTTACACACATGCATCGAGTTAACACCATAACACGGTCAAGTTAAGTGATCGTAACTATTAACACAAGTGCCTTTCTATAGAAGGGGGGGTAACAGATCCGAAGACTGTAGTGATGTATGACACCAGAGGAAGGCAAGAGGATGTTCAAATGTCTTTAAGTCTGGACAGAACATCATCTACTCTAAGGCTGTCAGTTTAGAGATTTATTATGATGATTATGATTATTGTTGTCAATAATAACTGGCATTTATATAGCAGAGGAAGCCTGTCTTAGAGGCTAGGTGGCTGGCTTCCAAGCCAGGAAAATCTGGGTTCGAGTTCTGCTTCTGACTCCCATGAGCTGCCAGACCCTGGTCAAGTTACTTAACATCTTAATGCCCCAGGTAACTGTCTGAGACTCTTAACCCTCAGAAAATGCTGCTCTGCAGAGATAGAAGCGGTTTTCTCATCTGTGAGTTCCCTATACCAAAGGAAACTGAGGGTCTTATCCCTATGCTGATTTAGTAAGTGTTTGAGTCAGCAAAATGCCTTGGAGGAGAAACAGACCTGGAGAGGGTGGTGGCTTGCTCACCCACGTCCTGACAGTTGCTGAAGAAGAGATAAGTTGCTTTTTACAAAGGACTGCAACCCTTCATGGTCCTTATATCTCTGGAGCTCTTATCATGGACACCATTAAGTCTAATCCAAGACTTGCTGAATGTGGCTGTGCTGGCTTCCTTCCCAGATGCAGGGAAAAGCAGGTTGAAGAAAGAGCTAGGCCAATGTGTGACTGACCCCTAAGTCTCTAGTGGAGAGTGGTCTTGGCTTGTAACAAAAAAAGCAGGCTTTTTCAGCCAGTGCCAGGAGGGGTGGGGCAGGTCCAAGGAGGCAGCCTCTCCCTCAGAGCCTTGGGGCTCTAACGATGACTGTGCAGTTTGGGAGCTAGCATAGGACAATTCGGGAAGGTTCTGGGGCTTAGAGAGCACATAGCCACTTCTGAGTGAACAGAGTTGAGACTGGAGGTAGACAGTCTGCGACTGAAAACATGCTAGCACGTTCACCCCGTTTTTTCAGAGCAACATGTTTGGAGAAGAAATAGAGGTTTATGTGCCAGGTTCTGTTTTGTCACTCCTGACAGGACACAATTAACAAATTGGAAAATGAATTGAGAACCACCAAGAGCGAAATGGCACGCTACTTGAAAGAGTACCAAGATCTGCTCAATGTGAAGATGGCTCTGGATATTGAAATTGCAGCCTACAGGTATGGGGGAGGGGAACGTCTGCAGCAGTCATTAAGCTTGGGGTCAGGGTGGAATTAGATTCCAGGTCAGGCCCTTTGGGAGTAGGACTCATCATTCTGAGACAGTGTGGACAAGTCAAGAAGACCCGAGTTCAGACCCTGTCTTAAGCACTTACTAGCTGTGTAACCTTGGGAAAGTCACTTAACTATTTGTGCCTCAGTTTCCTCCACTGTAAGCTGAGTGGGTCAAATTCAATAGCCTCTAAAGTTCCTTTCAGATCTAATTCTATGACACTGTGATCATTTTATATTTTTTGTTAGCAGTCAAATCCCAAGGTAGTACTATTAACGCCTTTGGTTCCTTTGGCTAGAGATGCTCTGTCTCAGGTTCTGACCTAGTTTCCTTAGAAATGCATAGACAGTGGAGGCATGATCTAAATCTGGATATTGACATTTATTTTTAATTATAATGGGCAGAATCAGATCTCCTGGCACATAGGAAGCCCTTAATAAATGTCTGTTGACTGACTGTGTTCAGCAAGGGAATAGCCGGCCCTGTAGTGCTCAGTTATACTCCCAAAGACTCCTCCTTTGCTTAAAGAAAAGGAATTGGGATTCTTCCCCTAAAAAAATACCTTAAATATCAAAGGATGTTCTTTGGTATGGCTTGTTAAATGTGGCTTGAACATAAAATTACCATCAGACAGCTTGATTATCCAAATTTCAACCACTACAAATTAAACCTCTCCCCCTCCAAAAAAAAGAATCAGGCCTAACTACTAGGGCTGCTTCAAGTTCAGTGTGATTTTAATGGGGTTCTCGGGTCTGCATCCTGACTCAGGGAGAACTATTGCTTTTTCAAGTTACTGAATTTGAAGGGAGGAATAGGAGACAGTGCCCAGTGCAGGGGAAGGAGAAAAAAAAGTCATTGCAAGACCGAGTATCTTTATTTTAAAGACTTTCAAGCGAGGTCCTTAACCTCTGCGTAGCAAGATTTTAGACATCCTTTGACCAATAAGATTGTTTAGTACTAAAGAGCTTCCCATCCTTGACAATGAAAAGAGGTGAGCATTGGAAGACATGTAATCTTCCCTTGGAATCCTGCCTTTGCTGCTTACATATCTGGGGGACCTTAGTCAAGGCTAGAGTGAGGATTCAAGGGGAAAACTGCAGAAACTGATTTAGGGTCTATGGAAGGAAAGTGTTTCTAATACTGTTTCCTAATCTGTAAAATGGGGGCGGGGGATTTTGAATTAGATAACCTCTGAGGTTCCTTCCAACTCCAAGTCAACGATCCTGTGACTCTTGAGTTTTCTCAGTCTCTGTTGTTGAGGATATAGACTTTAATGAATGACACCATGATATTTAAAATTTGATGGGTGGGAATTTTAGGTATTCTAGTCTGACTTTTGAATACTACTATTTTAGAAAGTTCTAGCTAGAATTTGCAATCCTTCTTCTAGAATTTGCAATCCTCCTTCTGCTTTTGCTTTTATTAAAAAGCAAGGATGGTTAGAGAACATGCTGTTGTTGATTTCCAAACACATGCCTCTCTTCCCTACCACCCGCCATATTTTTGATCCTCAGGAAATTATTGGAAGGTGAAGAGACCCGCCTGAGCTTCACCAGTGTTGGAAGCCTAACCAGTGGCTACTCCCAGAGCTCCCAAGTCTTTGGGCGCTCTGCCTACAGTGGTCTCCAGACCAGCTCATACTTGATGTCTGCCCGTGCCTTCCCCTCATACTACACCAGTCACGTCCAAGAGGAACAGATTGAGGTGGAAGAGACCATTGAGGCAACCAAGGCAGAAGAAGCCAAAGATGAGCCTCCCTCTGAAGGAGAAGGAGAGGCTGAGGAAGAGGAGAAGGAGGAGGGAGAAGAAGAGGAAGGAGGTGAAGAGGAAGAAGGTAAAAATCAGATTCACTGGAAAGGAAGCTAGAAAGGGAATCTCCAGGGTTTTCTGTATAAATGTGGCATAGTCAAAAGGTCCCTGAAATTAGTGTCAGAAGACTTGGGTTCAAAACCTACTGTCAGTATTTTCTAGTTGTTGGACCTTAATGATTCAATTGACCTCCTGGGCTTCAGTTTACTCCTCTGTAAGATAGGGATAATCATACTTCCTAACCCCAGAGTTGTTAGGAAATATCAAATGAGAACTTTGCTCAACATAGAATGCTAGTATGAAAGGGAGCTACCATTAATTAATCTGTTTTAGAATGTCATAGGCAGAATGTAACTTGGAAGAATGTAAGACAATTGTATTTGTAGCTGGAGGGGAAATCCAAGGGCATCTAGTCCAATCTCCTTATTTTACAGAAGTGGAAACATCGATTGAACCTGATACTTTCTGCCAAACAGGTTTTAGTCATGTCTTTTCTGCACTTATCAGTAACATTAGAGAAGGCCATTTACATGACTTACCTTTCTGGGAAGAAAATGGAGGCGTGCAAGATTTTAAAAAAAGAAAGCTTTCAAATGGAACCTTCTCCACTGTTTTCTTTTTCTTAAAATTTGCTCTTCATTCCTGCTTCTGGTATAGCTCTTGGCACAATAACCTCTGTTATAATAATTGGCACAATAAATCACTGTTCTGCATGCCCCAAACTAGCGTGTGGGATCAGGTGCTAAAAGAGAGGGAAAGTCTGCAGAAGTTAGTGCTCTAGAGGAGTCTGGCTTTGGCTACCTAGAAGTAAATTTAGTGCCTTTTCAATGGGCCTCCAGTATCCAATTATGAAAACTCATTCAGTAAGATTGAAAAATGGGAATGAAGTAGGCAATGTGAGTACTGGAATAGAATATCCTGGTGTAGTATAGAAGTGCCTCTGGGGGCAGAGGATCGGGTTCAAGTCCTGTGTCTGACAGTTGCTGTGGGGATGACCTTGGGTAAGTCACCTGGGTCTTAGTTTCCTCATCAGTAAAATGACCTAGTTGACCTCAGAAGTCAGTTTTAGCTTTATGAACCTATGACTCTGAAAGAACTCTAACGTGCTTATTTTATAACAATGGCATTTGGACAACGCAGCCCTTGGTAGAACTATTGCTGAGAACCTAGTCAAGTCTGACATGATTTGTCTCTAACTGTGATATTCCCTCCCCCTTGTGTGCCTTTAAAAGGTGCCAAGGATGAATCTGAAGACAAGGAAGGAGGAGAAGAAGAAGAAGGCGGGGAAGCTGCAGAGGAAGGCGGGGAAGCTGCAGAGGAAGGCGGGGAAGCTGCAGAGGAAGGCAAGGAAGCTGAAGAGGAGGAAGAGAAGAAGGAAAAAGATGCTGCTGGAGAAGAAGCTGTAGAGCAGAAGAAGAAAGATTGAGTTCTCTTTTCCTTGACTATTTCAGGTTTCCCCCCAATCAGGTCAACAATCCCACCACTACGCAATCTGTTGAGCACTGAATGCTGTAAAGAATAAGAAACCACATATTTAAAAAAACCAACAAACAACTAATCTGAGATGACATAGATTGAAAGTGATTGTTGTGCTAAATGTCTTCCCCCTATACAAGAGTATTTGGTGTGCTTCTTGACAGCTTCCCTGGCTTGCTGCCAGACTGCATGGTACATGCTTATGAATTCTGGGTTGATGGCAGTATGGATGATTCAGACATATACCATTAAAAAATGAATAAACAAACTCTGATATAAATGTTAAACTTGATGACAAACATAATCTTTGGAAACCTTTGGTGGTTAGAAAATAATGACCCCAAGTTATGTGCAATAATTAGCAAATAAAGGCATCCTGGAACGGCATTATAATCCCTTGTTGTGGCTATTGTGTGTTAATCAAAGAAAGTTTCAAATATGCATTCAAGCGATGTGCAGCTGACCAGTCAGAAGCCAGGCTACTGATCTCAGAATCTCATGGTACCAAAAAAAATATATGTAATTTTCCCTTTTCTTAAATAATACATTTATCCCCAGTTGGTGCTTTCTAAGGAACTCAAAGCTTAAGCTATCATTCAGCAATCTTGCCTATCTCTCCCACCCTCTTCCTCCTCCTTACCCTCTTTCTCTCCACTCCATAACATTTCTCCAATCCTTCCAAATATCATCAGTAATTAACAGAAAGAATAAGGGAGGGAATCTTGTAGGGCTTTCTCTAGCAATACCGGTGTGCTGGCCTCAGTACAGTCATACGTTGTAGCTCAGGGAAAGGGTTTCATGGTGAGATCTGTGAGAAGATGGACTAAATACACCCCACTAGGCAAATGGGCACGTGAGACAGAGTACCAGTGAAAGGTCACTAACGCAAAATGGGTAGACAGTGCATCTTAACATGCCCAACAGTCAATAGCTCTTTTTCTTTTTTCTCTAATTGGTCCAAATGCAACTATGATATGCAGATGATAAGCAAAAACAGATCATTTTTTACATGTAAACAAAATACCTAAGACATGGAGATCAGAAGGCAAATCCCCCCTTATATCTTGCCTACAAACCTGGACCAGTGGTGATTCTGGGTCTTCAGCTTAGTTCCTGGCCTCTTTGTTGCTGCCTTGAAATTCCACAAGCCTCTTAGCTTTTAAAACATTTCAATAAACAACTGATGCCAAATGTAAAAACAACTATTGGTACCTCACAGAGGCAAATTCCACCCTGATCTGGGTCCCTTGGATATTACTTTGCGTATATTAATTTGGAAATCTAGAGGTTCAGAGGATGATTCTAACTGGTTAAGAAGAACTTCATTTAAATAAAAAGTTCATAGCTGTCCATGCCTAGCATATCCTATGGAATCCTGATGCTTGTATGGTATCTAATCTGCTGTGAGTTAGAGCAGATGTTACTGATTATGTGTTTTTCTGCTTCTGTCTTAAAAAGCTGATTTATCTGCTGATCTCCCCTTATTTGTTACTGTGCAATCGATATCACTTTCAGGGGTGGGGGGAGCCAATGCTTATACCTGCATTTTATCTGCCTTCATTTATATGCTGCACTGTGATTTCACCTTTGAGACTCACTTCTGTCAGATATTTCAAATTAAAACTGTTAGGCAAATGCATTTTCTGTCATGCTGTGGCTTTGAACCTGAAAGATCTATTGTTGACAGGCTTCTGCAAAGATACCTCTATGGATAGAAATTAAACTTGTTGCATTTTTGGTCTCGGAAAGTAGGTCTGGAGGACTGAGTGCTGTTAATAGCAAAGTGATATTAAAATGGAACTTTTAGCCCAATAGAAACAGTGGGATTTGAGAATTGTTTGAACCAAGTTTGAAAGCAATGACACATTGTATCACCCCTCTCCCCCATCCTGTGTGCCACAATAAAAATAAATTAAGAAAAAAATACGGTGAGTGGACTTTGTTATTTTTGCGGGAAGAATAACCATCATCTCAGAAAACTGCCAGAAAACAAAGTTTGTGGAAATGACGAGTTGGATTTAGGCCCACTGCTCAGGGAAGGAAAAGGGCACTGGTTTGAGGGATATGGGATGTGGGATCCTAGCTCTGCACAATGTTCTTGCATATAACTCTAGGCAAATCTTCTTACCTATCTAGGCCTCAGTTTACTGTTTATCCCTATGATGGGGCTAATTGCTGTTCTTGAAGGTCCTTTCTCATACATTCTATGGAAAATTCTGCCACTTCTGTTGATGGCAACTTTTGGTACACATGGGACTTTTTCCTATTACTTTAATCTTTCCAAAGGTAGGTCAAAGGCTATTTAGTCACATCTTGTGTGCTATTCCAAATTGCTTTCCAGAATGGTTGTATCTATTCACAGATCTACCAATACTGCATTGATGTGCCAGTTTTCTCACAGTTCCACAGATCAATGGAAGAGATTAGTACATAACATATAGAAATGAATGTATCTAGTAGCCTGATATTCAATAAACACAAATAATCCAACTACTTGGATCAGGACTCACAGTTTTATTGAAAGATAATTAGGTGGTGAAAATGGACAGAGTGTTGGGCCTGGAGTCAGGAAGAGCTGAGTTCAAATCTGGCCTCAGACACTTACTAGTTGTATGATGCTGGGCAAGTCACTTAGCCTTATTTGCCTCAGTTCCCTCATCTGTAAAAAGAGCTCCAGAAGGAAATGACAAACCATTCCAGTATCTTTACCAAAAAATAAAAATAAAAACCCAACCCAAATGGGGTCGCCAAGAGTTGAACAAGGATGAAATAACTGAAGAACAACTTTAATAGGAACTCCTGGAAATATTAGATAGCATTATGGAAGTAATTAGATTTACACCAGCATCTCACGCCTTCTACCATGATAAGCTTCACATGAATCAGTGGATAACCTACATATAAAAAAGTCACATCCTGAACAAAAACATGGAGGAAAACAGTATGTATCAGATCTATGGACAGAATCAAAGCTCATGACCAAAGAGTAGAGAGGATCATATAAGATACAGTAGATAATTTTGATTCCAGAAATGTAAAAGTTGTTTTGCACAAATAAATACAACAAACCTAAGATTAAAAGGGAAGCAAATAATTGAGAAAAATCTTTCCAGAGAGTTTCTTTGACAATAGTCTCCTCTTCAACATAAGTAAAGGATTAATTCAAACCTATGAAGACAAGAACCATTCCCCAGTTGAGTTCTCCATCGAAGAAATTCAGGCTATCTGTAACCATCAGGGGAAAATGCTGCAAATCATTACTAATTAGATAAATGCAGCTTAAAGGAATTTGGTTGGATCCCTCTGAATTCAGGTGGCAGGTGCAATGAACTGGGACTATTCTTGTCTTGCACTTGGAGCTTGAAATGTGATTAGCAGAAGGTAAGCTACAAAAATGCATTTAGAGGGTGTTTCCCAAGGCTGTGATGGGAAAAAATGGAATCGAACCTTGACTCTGTAATGTGGTGGCTGTCAGGTTTTCTTTTTTTAGGAAAATGTGCACTTTTCTAAATGATTCTGTCAGATCTTTTGTGGTCCTCAATCCTTACCAACTCAGAAATGTTAATTAGTAATAGGAAAGAGGTGTCAAAGAATGGTGAGGGGGGGGAGGCTAAAGCAGCTATGCAGATGCTGAGGCAGTATTAAAGACTATGGAACTGGCTGCAATGTTAGTGATCTCCTCTCTTCTTTCATCTTCTCCTTCTGCACCTTTCACCATTTCTTTCCATTTCAGCAGGGAGTCCAGGTAAACCTCCTCTTCATTTTCTACCTGACTGCACTCCTCTGGGCTATCCCATCATATCAGGTCTCCAGTCCAACTTCTTCCCCCCCATCCTACTCTGATTTTCTACTTCCTTTTATGTGTTGTTTCCCCTGATTAGGCTGTAAGCTCCATGAGGGCAGGGACTGGTTTTTTACTTTCCTCCTATCTCCGACTTGTAGCACATTGCCTGGCACATAGTAGGTGCTTAATAAATGTTTGTCCATCAACTGTTTGACTAGAGAACCCACAAATCTGACCGTGGTATGTGGCAGTATGTAGCACAGTTGACCTCCAAGACTAGCACACTCCCCATCATATTACTACTTCTTGTAGATAATAAGGATGTTTGGCACTTTGGCAATGTGAGGTTTAACTTTCTCATAATTAAGAACCTTTGTTCTTACCTCTAATCTCCTCACATGCCAACCTGAAAATGGAGCACAGTCCTAGTTCTGTTCTGAACACAGAACCAGCAGGAGACCTTTCTGTGGCTTGGTGCCTCATCATTTCATCCCCCAGCTCAGTAGTGAAGAAGAAAACCCTAGCTGAGTACAAGTCTCTGCCTTGATCTGCCATGGTGAGTGAGAGGTTCACTAATTATGTGGGATCTGGGCTTGGAAACTTGTTACCAGTTCGCCACAGGACTTCATTTTTCTTTTTCTCTCCTGGTGTCAGAGAAGATTATAACCCAGGATAGGAAATAAAAGTGATTTCACCTACTAGTTTTGCTTAGTGGAAAGAGGATTGTATTTGGATTCCAACTTGCCTCTTCCACTTATTATCCATGTGACCCTGGGCAAGTTGTTAACTTCCCTTGATTCCATCTCCTTTACTGTACATGAGGAGTGTGGAGTAGAGGACTCTGGAGGGTTCTTCCAGCTAGGAAATTCACAACCTTTCTAAGCCTTAGGTTCTTCATCTGTGTAATAAGGGGGTCATATTAGATGGCCTCTAACATCCCTTCCTTCCCTACACCTAAGAATATCATGAATGTTCTCAGGAGTCTGGTTCAAGGGAGACAATTCAATTTTGGAGTTAGAAGAGGTGAGCTCAAATCCAGGCTCTGCCATTTCCTACCTGTGTGACCTTGGGTAACTCACTTCATCTCTTGGTGTCACTTTCCTTCTTTAATACAAAGTTTTCAGACTAGATGATCCCTAAGGTCTCTTGCAGCTTGTCCCCCTTCCTAATCGTTCCCTGGAGAAATCCATAAGCAGAGAAGCTGGGGAAATCAAAGGACAGTAAGAGGTAAGGTTCAAGGTCATAGGGGTATGGCTTTGAGCTAGGAGGAACATTAGAGTCCAACTACCTACTTTTATAGATGAGAGCCAGAATTTGAATTCATATCATTTGACTCCAAATCTCCCCCATCACACAACACACAGGTTCATCTTCAGTACCATGGGCTTGTTGGAACTTGTGAGGAACACACTGACTCTTCGCTCTTCATTCTCACTTTCAAAAACCTTTGTCTTATTACTTTTCTTCTCCAACCCCTCCACCCTTCGAAGGTAACACCATTCAGAGTTCTCACCCCATATATATATATATATATAAAATACTGTAGAGGCTGTAGGTCATGCATTCTCTTTCTCAAGGACTTTAAAATTCTCCTTTTCTTCCTCCACCCCTAACCTTGTCTTTATATGTGGGGACTTCTATTTATTTGTGGGTGTCTTCCTAGTTAATAAACTTCCCCA